TGAACCGCTGGTGGGCCTGAAAGAGGAATCCTGGCATTGATATCACCGATTTCCAACGATTTTCTCTAGCTCCCAGCAAGAGCTAAAGAGCAGTTCCTTGTAGGTTTTGGGAGTAATCTAAGACAAGCCAGTTAATTATCCACTGTATTGTCTGATTGAAGTATATCTGTAAGTCTCTCTCTCTCTCTCTCTCTCTCTCTCTCTCCTCTGCCACGTATCCTTAAACTGTTTACACATAAAATACTGCCGAATCCTTACCCCAATCTTGTGAGATAAGTACTGCTATTTATTTTATACAGACAAAAGCATAAGCCAAGAGAGATTACTCTACTTGCCTAAATTCAAGTAAATATTCCACCTACTCTACTAATCAGGGCTTTCTGGTCACTCCCAAATACATTTCAGGTGTTTGCTCTATATCACACCTAGCCAGACACCAGGGTGTAAGTTCCCCTACCTAGAAGTGAGGGTCAGACCAGGGGTCATTTGTGTCTGGTTTCCAAAGGATGAGTATATATTTCTAGGGAGGAAGGAAGGGGAAGTGTGTTCTGTAAGAAGGAGATTCATGGGCAAACAGGGCTGCAGGAGAGAGCTGGGTGCCAAGAGAGTTTGCAAGAGTCAATGTCAGAAGTGAGCTGGAAAAATGGGGTAGGGACAGGTCCTGACTGGCCTTGAATACCAGTTTGGGGATTTTCAACTTTATCCTGAGATCCCTGGAGGGCCATTGAGGATTTGTTTTATTATGAGCAATTTCAAACATACATAAATGTAATGATAATAATAAAATAACCCCCCATGTTCTCATCATCCAACCTTACCAATGATAAATATTTTACCATTATTGTTCATTGATGATATTTATGCAGGGCGATGTGATGAGATTTCTGTCTTTCTAGGGTCACCTAGAAGTAGGGTTGAGAAGGGGTTAGGTGAGGTGTTGAATGGAGAAAGAACAGAAATTAGGCTGTGGCAGGAGACAGAGAGGGTCTCAACATATCACACAGAGGAGGCTGAGCAGAGACTCACAGAGAAGCCAAAATGATAGTGGAGAGGGATAAGGGCAAGGAGATGTTGAGCAGAGTCTAGGATGAGCAAACATTTCTGAGTTGGTTGATAGGCTGGAAGGAGATCCCTTTATTCCACTGTATCCCATGCCTCCTGGACAGGGAGACAAGGCAGGTATATAATCAGGCCCTCTTTGGATTTCAAGTTCTATGTTTGCTGTAGATCATTAATTTTTTATGGTAGGCCTGATTTTATCTTCTCAAGGTCAAATGTCATAAACCTAATCATTTTTCCTGCAGACAGTTTTCATGATAATTTCTCACAGTTATGAATTTCTAGCCTCATTCTGGCCATGGTGCAGGATCCTGTGTGGCATGCACTATCAAATGGCAGTTCACTGAGACTTGGTATTTTGGAATCACTTGGGAGGTAGTCAAACTATGAGACGTGACCAGAGATAAAGGGCAGTCCAGTCCATCCTGCCCTTTCCTCCTTTTCACTGTGGTCTTCAGAGTTGCCTGGACTGCTGGGATCCAATAGGAGATAGGGAGAGACATCTAGGTACATGTTAAAGGTGGGTGCCTCAGAAAGGTGGGCTTATAGAGTTGGCAGCTGCATTCTGACACTAGGGGCATGATGGGGAGAGGAAGAGCCTGCAACCAAGACCAGTCTGCCTTCAAGAGATAGTAAGAAAGCTAATGAAATGCTAGGAAAGAAATGCAAGCCACTTTTCTGTACAGGGAGATGTTTGAGGGTTGTTAATCCTCAGGTGTCTGTTTCTTCTTTATTTCCCTCCATACTTGAACAGAGTTGGTGTCCTTGAATTTCAAAGGCACACAAGTATCAGCATCCCAACAAGATGTATTGGGGGGGAGGGGGTTGTGGAATGTGGACTTGGCTTCAGGCCATGCAGGCTCTGATTCTGATGGCCTTGGAAAAGCCCTTCGACTGACAAGCCTCTAGATCAGTGGTTCTCAACCTTCTGGCCCTTTAAATACAGTTCCTCATGTTGTGACCCAACCATAAAATTATTTTCGTTGCTACTTCATAACTGTAATGTTGCTACTGTTATGAATCATAATGTAAATATCTGATATGCAGGATGGTCTTAGGCGACCCCTGTGAAAGGGTCGTTCGACTGCCAAAGGGGTCGCAACCCACAGGTTGAGAACCGCTGCTCAAGGTTGTGGGGAGGTATTTTGGGATAAGACAGGAAGAATTTGGGATGATGTTACAAGAAGTTGCTTGGTCCATTTCCATACCTTTGTAATTCCGTAGCAGCAGAGATAAGATCTGGCTAATGATATTAATAGGGAAGGGCTGGAGGGCAAGACACTAGTGGAAAGGGTTTTAGGGCTTGATGACAACCACAAGCTTCAATATCATCCAGTGTGCCAGCTGGTCTTCCCAGATTTGTTTACCTGGTTAGACTGCCCCATTGGGTGTACCAACTGCCCTGTGTGGGAAGTCAGAGGCCTATGACCCAATCAAGTATTGGTTCTAGTAACAATGGAGAATGTAAGAGTCTGTGAGTGCCTACCATGTGCCAAGCCTTGTGCTTGCTTTGTCCTTTTTAATCCTTGAGGAAACTCTGCAAGTTAGGGATTAGAACAGTATTTTTAGAATCAAAGACATCACTTAAAATTTTTAAAAGCTGAAAATTTAACCGTCACACTACTGGAAGCAATATCTTGATTTCAAAGGTACTAAAATGTGAAACACACACACATGTACAATAGAATAAATGTATGACAGTACCACCTCTGTCCTTACAGAGATGTTAAGTAACTTACTCAAGGTCACACAGCAAGTGAAGCTGAAAAGTAAAACCTGTTCTATCTGACTCCAACACTGGGGAATTTCCTAGGCTGCTTCTTGGAAGGGTCAGAAGGCAAGACAGAAAGGCTTCCAGGTGCCCAGCTCAGAAAAAATTGAATCCAGATGAATTGTTAGGATTGTGGGAAGACAAATGCGGTTGCAGTGATAAAGGCTTCTTTTTGTAGGACACATGATTCCCATAGGTGGTAAAATGACTAAATTGGTCAATCTAAGTTCTAAGTCACACTCCTTTTTGCTTAGTGAGTTCATAGTAAGTCAATGGGGAAAAATATATGGTTTTGTTCTGGAGTGCCTATACGGGGTGTTTTAGTTTTTTTCAGTGTTATGAGCTGCTCTGGTATTCACGTTAGGCCAACCCTAGGGGTTGTATTTGCAAAATTCTAGTGAAATTAAGTACCATCTGGGTGTGAGCTAATAATGCCTATTCTGTGAGCTTGGGCAGGACAGAAAGTCTGGATTTCAAAGTTATGTATATCCAAATAAAATGATTTAGAAGAGAAAAATCATCAGAAAATAACTGGGTTGATTACAAATGAAGAATAGGAGACCTGATTTCTAGTCGTGGTTAACTTGCTGTGTAACTTTGGGACGATCTCCTTCTCTCTCTGATCTCAGTTATGTTAATCCAGCAAATGAGGTAGGGGAATATTAGGTAATATCTAAGAATCCTATCATTTGATGACTTTTGATTCCATCTGGCTGTTATTAAAAATCCCCAAACTAATACAACTCAAATATTTAAAAACTGAAAACTGGACTTCTGCTTCTGGCCATGAAAGTGTAACAGTGACTGGATTTATACTTCCAACTTAAACAACTAAAAAAGTGGACAAACTATATGAAATAACGGTTGTCAAACATTGGAAAACAATGAAGTACAGGACAGTGATCCTCAAGAAAAGGGAAACAAATGAAGTGAGCCCTACAATTGCTCTAGTTTACTACCCAGTGAATGTTTTTAGGCTGGAACCCAGACTGAGCCTGGAAGTCTGCCTAAATTGAGGAGACAGAGTTCAGAATCCAGGGAGGTGAGGGTGGCTTGAATTTACAAAGTAATGTACCAGCTCTTGAATTTACAAGGGCTTCCCAGAGATTTTAAAAGGTACCCCTCAAATCTTTGACTTAATACAGATCAGCACATGCATGTGAGCAAACTAAGGCTGGGGAAAGAATGACTCAAAAGGAGTAGGTGGAGTGATTTCTAGAGCTCACATAAGGCTGGGAGTAGCTCAGTTTTCCAACAGGCAGAGAGAAGAAACTTCATAATACATCACACTGAGTCTTCTGAAGAAGATTGCTTCAGTAGTGGAGCCAAATTAACCTTAGTCTAAAGTTTGTTCTGGTCCCACATAGCAAGAAGGATTGAACTGTTTCTAAGTATCTTTACCGTGACTCAGAGCAAGGCTCAAAAGATATTTAAATGAGTACAAAAATATCAAACACCCAACAAGGTAAAATTTGGTAAGTCTGGAATCCATTAAAACATTATAAAGCATACAAAATAGAAAAATCAGACCTATAATGAGAAGAGAAATAGAAATAGACACAGATGACAGAATTAGTAGATAAAGACATTAACATGGCTTTAAAAATATGTTTCATATGTTCAAGAAGGTAAAGAAAAGCATTGGCATATTAAGGAGAGAGATATACAATAGAAACCAGAGTGGCCTTGGCTGGGTAGCAAAGTTGGGTAGAGCATTGTT